AAACTCCAAAACAATTCATTTAAAAACTCTTGCCAGCTTGTTTTGACAGCCCCGACATGCAGAGTTATGGGGCAGACTTCTGCAAAAGTAAGAAGCTCAATTAAGATTCCAAAAGGAGACTAATATCAATTGCTTCCAAAAAATAAAAATAGAATAATTCTTTATTGGCCAAGTGTGATTGGACACACGAGGAATTTGTCTTTGGTGCAAATGCTCTCAGTGTACATCAAAGAAAAGATACATTCGTCAAGAGTCAATCATCAGGTGCAACACTTATTTTTGTACAACAAAAATAAAAAATGAATTGTCCCTTTCATATATATCATAGCTAATTCCCAATCCCAGATCCTTTGCTGTAAGATTTGCATTTGAGCCGCAATTCTTTTCGTGAGGCTGATGAGGTATCAAAGCAATTTCGTGGGAGGAAGGAATGATGTTAAAAAGAGGCTCAGCGTTCGTTTATCTGGCCCGGTGCGGGGAAGGAAAAAAAAAAAAAGATCATGAAAAATAAAAGATCAAGTTTGTTCCGTCGCTAGTTCTGGGAGTGATTCATATCAGGAAGTGGTATCACCTTTATTTTTAGAGCAGCAGGCAATTTGCAAGATCCCTCAGGTCTTCTGCACGGCTTGTACAAAATGCAAAGCCAAGAAGGCAGCTGCGTTGATCATGACAAAGACACACACAATTTTTTTAAAAAAAAAAAATCCCCAGATTTGTCTTTTATTAGGTCAACTCCAGGCTTACAAGAAAATCTCTGCGATCTTGGAGTTTCCAAAAATATTTCCTCGAGCAAGATTAAAGCATTGAGAAGTGGGGTGGAAATAAGACAAAAGGTTGCTTTTTTAAAAAAACAAAAAAAAAACCCTATTGAGTCCAGATTAATCTTAAATAGTGTATTACAAGATTTACCTCCTTGCAAACGGAATCTATAGGGGTGCTGGGTTGGGTCAAGGATTTTTTTCCAGTCCTTCTGCTAGGAAAAGCAGAAGGAAATAAAATAGATTCCCCACCACCCATAGCTGGGAATATCAAAGCCAGCTGCTAATGTTTAGACTATTTTCATCCTTTGAAAAACACAGAGATCCCTTGATAGATGAGGAATCTGCTAACTTCAATATGCATCTGAGACTGTAAGCTGATTTTTTCCCCCTGATGTTCAATTGTGTTTGATTCTGTGGGTGGTTTTTTTTTTTTTTTTTGCCTCCTTCCTAGCGCTGAGGGAGGGTGACTGGCCCAAGGTCATCCAGCTGGCTCAGTGCCTTCAAGCAGGACTAGGATTCACAGTCTCCCAGTTTTTAGCTTGGGGCCTTAAACACCCCAAACAAGCTGACTCTCTATAAGAAGCTGATCTATAGACCTGATTTCACATCATTTTTTTCCCCCGCTCTGCTTTCATCTTTTCCCCTCTGGATTGTTAATCATCTCTTGCTTGGGAAGGCTTGCAGCTGTTTTACAAACCTTCCGTTTGACTTAATCGTCACTTTCAGGACATCATCTGGATTTTTCGTTCTATGTTTAGTGTGCCAAGCAAGGGAGGCATTCTCAGAGGACTGTGAAATGAACTTCTGTTGGCAACCAACTCATTAGCACCGAAGAAGAGCCAGAAGCCACTCATCAAACGTTTCTATGCCTGTTTTGGAGTTGCAATGAACAAAAGGAGGGGAAAGAAATTCGAAGGAGCAGAGTGGCAGTTTAAAACCAAAAGTGCATTCCATTCTTATCTTGCAAAGATTGTAACTAAGCTACCTGTGTTTCTCCCTGGGGGAAATCCCTCATTGGAGAATGTGATTGATGACTCTCAGCTATGAACGTGTTTCGTTGGAGAATATTAATTATGATACACCCAGAGGGGTGGGGGGGGCAAAACAGGGTCACAGGAGATAATAAATTATGTGCTTCAGAATCGGCTTCATACAGGTCATGCCAACATGTTCGCTCCTAATAAATCCTTTGAAGTTTTTGAAGCTTGGCTCGAGGATCATGATTTAATTAGGGCAACTGCAGGAATCCTGACACTCACACTGTAGAGTCAAAGTCTACATATCAACACTTTTCACAATATCTCCCATTAGGCTCAGCTAGGATTTTCAGGGGCAGGCCATGTTCTTTACTGCGAGGGGTATACAACCAATAACTTGACGTTGGAGAGCAAACCATCCCAGTTGGGAGAAGGGGTCAAGTAGGGAATTAGTCTGGACTCCTTCCATAAACACAAGAGGCAAAGTCTGACCCAACCTTGAATGTCTTTGACCCTTAGCTGGTCTTCGCTAGGCAAAAGCTGTACATCAGGGGAGATTCTTGTATTATAGGCAGAAAGCAATAAAGTAGCTTGTTTGAACTCTACGCCTGTGAGTCTAGTTGTGCTCTCTGTCAGGATTCCCTAATTAAATCATGATTCTCGAGCCAAACTTCAAAAAACTTCAAAGGATTCATTCGAGGCGACCTGCTGGCACTGCCCTGTAGGAAGCCAACTCTGGCCTACGTCATCTACAGTCCCCTGTGACCCTGTTTCCCCCCCCTCCCCCCCTGGGTGTGTCATCAATCACATTCTCCAATTGAGCACATTCACAGGCTGTGTGTCATCATTCACGTTCTCCAATTCAATATATTCGCAGGCAAAAACTCTGGTATTTTAGTTACAATCTTTTAAAGATGAAGAGTTGGAACGTAGTTTCACTTTCAAACTGCTGCACTGCTCTTCCAGTATTTCCTTCCTCCCCCCACCTTTTTTTTTAATGGCAACTACTAAAACAGGCATAGGTAAAATTACTTGTCTCCTTTCTCCAGGAATATTTGTGAAAGAATATACCTGAAAGGAAACGTCAACTGTCAACTCACCTGTTACTAATTTAAGATCTTGTAGATCGTCTAGTCCAACCTCCTACTCAAGCATGAGATGCTATGCTGACAAATGGTTGCTCAGTCTCTTCTTGAAGGTCTCAAGTGATGAAGCTCCCACAACTTCTGAAGGCAACTTCTGTTCCATTGGTTGATTGTTCTTGCTGTCAGAAAATTTCTCCTTATTTCTAGGTTGAATCTCTCCTTGATCAGTTTCCATCCATTATTCCTTGTCTGGCCTTCAGGTGTCTTGGAAAATAGCTTGACTCCCTCCCCTCTGTGGCAGCCCCTCATATATTGGAAGGCTGCTATCATGTCTCCCCTGGTCCTTCTCTTCACTAGACTATCCATGCCCAGTTCCTGCAACTGTTCATTGTATGTTTTAGCCTCCAGTCCCCTAAATCAGGGGTCCCCAACCACCGGTCCGCGGACTGGTACCGGTCCGCGGAACAAGTCCTACCGGGCCGCTGGTTGCTGGGCGCCGCCATCTTTTTTTGATGAAAAAGTGCTTCCGGTGAGCTTTTCCGGGTAGAAAGCTCACCGGAAGCACTTTTTCATCAAAAAAAGATGGCGGTGCCCAGCTGATGCCGGTACCGGGCCGTGGCGCCCAGCTGATGCCGGTACCAGGCCGCGGCATAAAAAAGGTTGGGGATCACTGCCCTAAATCATCCTGGTTGCTCTTCTCTGCACTCTTTCTAGAGTCTCAACATCTGGATGCAGTACTCTAGGTGTGGCCTTACTCAGGCTTCATAGAGTGGTATTAGTACTTTCCTTGATCTCGATTGTATCCCTCTGTTGATGCAATTTAGGATTGCACTGGCTTTTTTGGCCAGTGCCGCACACTGCTGGCTCATTGTTAACTGATTGTCCACTAGGACTCCTAGATCTTTTGGGTTCATAGTTTAGAAACTGCACAATTGTGATGTAGGGCCTGTGCTCAATTTTGCGATCCCCCAAGATCGCTAAGCCTCTTTATTTGTGTCTTTGTGTGTGTAACTCTTCGTTAATATGCCCTGATGGTGCCGTTGTCTTAGCCCTTAAGAGAAGAAACAGCCCGTGTTTAGACTCCAGATAACGCAACATCTTTTCTGCAAGGGAACCACAGGACAAGGGAATGCATAGAAGCTTGGTCTTTATTCCACCAAATCGAACAGTACCATGGAAAAAAGAGAAGGGAAGCATTGAAGGTCGAGGGTCAAAGAATACTGCATAGTCACGTCACAACATAAAGATTGCCACGTTTGTCACACAGGTAATTATACCCTTCCCGCTAGTTCTTGAAAACATGACAGTGAGAGGTCCCAGGTTGTATTGTTAGACACTGAGACAGAGCACAAAAACGCCTACGGGATTATGGTTGATTAAGCACCAACCAAAGAAACTTTCATCCTTGTATGGCTTCAGGGGTAGAATGAGAGGCCCAAGCTGTGTTTTTCTCCACCTGGAAAATGGGGGACCATGGAGCTGGGCTTTGGGAGGTTCTGGAAGTTCTGACTCATAGTAGGGGTCTACGGTGGAGGAGGGAGGGTGGGATTTTTCTCTTGCCCCACTTCCTTGCCTTGAACTGGAAGACGTACAAGTGGGCAAGCCATCTAATTTACAAGACTCGGAACCTCCCTTGGCAAGGATTCCTTTGCTTCTTCAGTGCCCTCTTCCAATTGTGTTTTGGTAAAGAGGGGTGGTCTGTAGGGGTGTGCGTGTGTGTGGTGCACATTCATTTCAGTACACAGCCAGGACTGGAAGACGTATAAGTGGGCAAGCCACCTAATTTACAAGACTCGGAACCTCCCTTGTCAAGGATTCCTTTGCTGCTTCAGCCTCTTTCTACAAGAGGTGCCCTCTTCGAATTATGTTTCTGTAAAGAGGTGTGTGTGTGTGTGTGTGTGTGTTTGTGTGTGTTTGTGCGTGTGTGGTGCACATTCATTTCAGTACACAGCCAGGACAACTCCCAGGAGGGTAAATGGCTCTTATCCTTCCCCATCAAAAGGTTGATGGAAGATAGACTGTCTAGATGTATGAGGAAAGGGAGAAGGTCGAAGAGAGGTAGCACTTCAAGGTGGACCATGGTAAGGGAAGGAGGAGCGGGTCAGACAACTGATGGTTCTAACCTGAGACAGGTACGCACATCTCATGTTCACTGAAGAAGGATGGAAGGAGGAAGATACGTTACAAGGGAGAGGATTCGGGCTGCAAAGAAAATACTCAGCTCACACACACGCGCGCACACAAGGAAGACAAACTCATTGGGCGTCTGTTGGGTCTTTTCTCATCGACTAGGGTCAGCCTTGCCCCCTCACAGACCAGACCACCCCACCCCACTCACACGGGTCCCAAGTTGACCAACTGGGATCAAGAGGCAGCATGGAGTCACATGACGGTGCATTTCTCAGCCGACTGCTTCAGGTCGTCTATGGTGGCTTGGGCTTTGTCCTTCAAGGAATCTAGGTCTAGGTTCTGGATGTTGGTCAGCTGTCCGATAACAGAGTCCTTCTCCTCTTCTTCCTCGTTGTCTTGCTCTATCATCTTGGCCAGCTCCTTAGGCAGCTCCACGTCACCCCCGGCGAGTTGGATCTGGTTGTCGTCGGTTTCATTCTAGAGAGAAGAGGGTTAATTGATGAGCCGTGGTGGCACAGTGGTCGGAGGGCAGTACTGCAGGCTACTTCCGTGAACTGCCTGCAATTTGGCAGCTCGAATCTCACCAGGCTCAAGGTTGACTCAGCCTTCCATCCTTTCAAAGTCAGTAAAATGAGGACCCAGATTGTTGGGGGCCATAGAGAGGGCTGGAAAGCACCATGAAGTGGCATGTAAGTCTAAGTGCAATTGATAGTGCCCTTCCTTCCTTCCTTCCTTCCTTCCTTCCTTCCTTCCTTCCTTCCTTCCTTCCCTCCCTCCCAGTGGTTAGAATGCAGCATTGCAAGCTAACTCTTCTCACTGCCAGCAGTTCGATCCTGACTGGCTCCAGGTTGATTCAGCCCTCCATCCTTCCGAGGTGGGTAAAATGAGGAGCCAGATTGTTGGGGGCAAGAGGCTGACTCTGTAAACCGTTTAGAGAGGGCTGTAAAAGCACTGTGAAGCGGTATATAAATCTAGCGCTATTGCTATTGCTTCCGACTCAAGGTGGAGAAAATTTCATCAATGGCGGTAAGTCTCAGCATGAGGCACTTCTGGTAGATCTCAACTTACGACCGTAATTGAGACCAAAACATCTCCCATTGAGCAACACAGTCATTGCATGAGCCACGCCTAATTTTACAACCTTTTCTGCTCACATGAATCTCTGCTGTCATTGAGTGAATCATGCCATCATGAAGCAAACCCAGCTTCCTGCGTTGACTTTGCTGGTCAGCAGCTGGCTGGGAAAGGTTGCAAGGGACAATCCTATGTTCCCAGGATGCGGCAACCATCATAAATATGGGCCGCCCAATTTTTGATCACATGACCACAGAGATGTTGCAACGGTCGTAAGTGCAAGGACCAGTTTTAAGTCACTTTGTCATAACTTTGGCCACTAAACAAACCGTTGTACGTTGAAGGCTACCTGTAGATTTCTGAGTAGGTTTGGAGTCCAAAGCTAAGCAGGGTTGGCCTTGGTTGTATTTGGATGAGACCAGCAGGGAATTCTTGGACAATGGGTTGGATAAGAAATTTCCTCTCCTTCCACAAAACTTCAGTAATGACAGTAACTACTTCGCTAGGCTTGTCAAGAAAAATACATGTAGGAATCTGTGAATTCCCCCAAGAATTAACCTTAGCTTGAGAGTAGCTTTACCTCTGCTAACAAATAAATTTGAAAGCACCTTGAAGGAGGAACATGAGGTTCAGAATCAGATTTAGAACACAGAACAGGGAATATCAGAATGGTAAGGGACCTTGGAGGTCAACTAGTCCAACCCCCTGCCTAAGAAGATCCTATATATACCATTTCAACCCAGTATCTTCATATTTAGATTATTCTGATTTTGGGAATCTGGAAGGTCTATTGATCATCCTATCAGCTGCATTCACATTGTCGTGTTAACCAGGTCAGCTAAAAGTTTTCGTGGCAGCATTCATACAAACAGAAAAAATTGATTAGGCTTAATCGTCTCTCTGGATTGGGGCCCTGTGCAAATTCGGAAGTGGGCCAGTTCCATGATCGGATCGAGCCTGGTGCCACTTTAGAACAAGGACCCAACCAACACATCAAAAACATACCATATTCTCCCTGATGTAAGAGACGCTTGCAAATGTCAGGTATAGGATTACAGACGAATGACTAAATGCCAGGTATAAAAATAGGCCATTTTGTCAGATTTCAGCCTGGGGCCAAACCCCCAATAAATACGGTTAGCGAAACAAATAGAGTGGAAAAAAACTGCGTTCATCATAAGCTCCATTGATTTGAACAGGGCCAGTTAGGAGCGGAATTATGAGCATAATTGGATTGTCCTAATTATGTCTGTTCTTAAAAAAATATATCAGTAAATGAGTAGAATATTGGATTTTAGATTCAAATGGAAAGGATTCCAGTGGAGGCAATTGAATATGTGGCGGTTCATGGCTAATCTCTGGATGGCCCAACTATGCTCAACATCATCTTCATCTAACCCATTGAGTAGCCCCAAAAATGCAATTGGTTTCAACTGGAATAAATCACCAGTTCAGTTCAGCCAGAAGGATTTCCTAGCATCCATTTTGCTTCTTAGCCAAGAAGCTTCGGTTGTGACTGGATAGTCTATCCAGTCAATCTCCTCACCATCCAATCTCAACTGATGAAGCTTCTTGGATAAAAAGCGAAGCATCTTATCCAAGGCACCCAAAGGCCAGACAAGGAATGATGGATGGAAACTGAACAAGGAGAGATTCAACCTGGAAATAAGGAGGAATTTTCTGATAGGGAGAATAATCAACCAGTTGAACAGAAGTTGCCTTCAGAAGCTGTGGGAGCTTCATCACTGGAGGCTTTCAAGAAGAGATTGTACTGCCATCTGTCAGACATGGTGTAGGGCAGGGGTGTCCAACCTTGGCAACTTTAAGACTTGTGGACTTCAACTGCTGGCTGAGGAATTCTGGGAGTTGAAGTCCACAAGTCTTAAAGTTGCCAAGGTTGGACACCCCTGGTGTAGGATCTCCTGCTTGGGCAGGGGGTTAGACTAGATGACCTACAAGGTCCCTTCCATCTCTGTTAATCTGTATTTACATCTGTATCTTCCTCCTCCTCAAAAAACAACCCAGTTGCCTTTAATTTTTTTTTAAAAAAGCACTTTTTGAGTGAACTGTGACCAGGATGACTGAGATTCTCCACGAACATTCCCAAGACGATGTTTCTCAAACTTGGCAACTCTATGACCTTAAATGACTGGGGACTTCTGGGAGTTGAAGTCCACCGGTCTTCCAGTGGCCAAGTTTGAGAAGCACTTCCTTGAGTGTCCTCTACATCATTTTTCCCCAGGATTCCCAAGCAGCACCCACCCTATTGAAAAGATGCTATCGGCTCAGGGGTATCTAAGATGGTTAGCTAAGTATCTCTATGCAATAGAAGTCTACCTCTTTGGGGCCTTTGGACCATATCCAAGGCCCACATTTTTCAAAGGGACAGAGTGTTGATGGCTGTTGGGGGGGGGGCACCATTTTGGTTTTAACTCTCCCCTTGCAGAGACTTCTGCTGCTGTCTTTCTAAAAAAAAAAAAAAAAGCAAATGTATTCCTATTGCAAGTGGCATCTACCCTGGTTGACGTCTTCGTAAGGCGGAGCAGTGCGTAAGGATCTTGTCCTCTTTCTGTCTTCAACTGATGGTAGAGGACGCCCACACCAACTCACTTTGGGGAACAGGGAAGTTGTGTTTATTTCTATTTCCTTATTTCCAATATTTGCAGAGTACCTCAGAAGGACATTTTGGGTGCATTGTGATATAAATTAAAACCATGCAATACGACTTTCTTCTTGTGTTCTATCTACAGTACAAATTAAAACGATGTAATATCCGGCTCAAAGCTAAGCAGCAAACAATGCCACTGAAGGGCCCAGGCAGAATTAAATTAAAAAGAGAGAGAAACTAAGAGAGGGAATTGTAATCATGAGAAACTTCTAAACAGGAGAACTGTGAATGCTCCTGGTTGAAGATCTGATTCAATAGCAACCGGATGGAATTAATCCTTCAGTTCAAATCATTACATTGAATCCAGTGTCTTCGAATCAATCCCAATGCGAGCAGGTTTTGACTTACAACCATTCGTTTAGGGTGACTGGCTGACTGGGGAATTCTGGGAGTTGAAGTCCACACATCTTTAGAGTGGCCAAGGTTGAAAAACTTTAAACAAAAAAAGATGGGGGTTAATTGGTGATCTCTGCAGGATCTGGCCTGGATTCTCCATAACCCCTTTTGTTATTTATTTATGTTATTTATTAAATTTACTCCGTCTTACCACAGGGTAACTCTGGGCAGCTTACACTATTAAAAATATAAAACTAGACAAAACCTACGGACAATATAAATAACTATAAAATTCCCAAATATTCATCTCTAATTAAAAGATAGGAGGAGGGAGGGGGTAGGATAAAGAGCAGGGAGAGAATTACCATGTCCGTATATCTGCTGGGAACCTATTCTACCGTAGCATAAAACAGCATCATTTCTTCACTTCGAGTGCGAAGTTTGACGATAGTACAGTTGTGTTAGGGCAGGGGTCTCCAGCCTTGGGAACTTTAAGACTTGTGGACTTCAATTCCCAGAATTCCTTCCCATTCTGGGCACTGAAGTCCATAAGTCTTAAAATCCCCAAGCCCTAATGCAGAGAAGCTCCCTCAAGAAACCAGACTGAGATTTGTGAAGGGTTCACTCCATACCTTGGGCAGTTTGTATTTGTCACGGAAGTGAGTCCGCAGAGTCGCACGCTCAGCCTTCTTCTGGGCAAACTCGGCATCACGCTCCATCCTGCAAAAGTCACAAGGAGAAAGAAATTGATTTCAACCCTGAATAGGTCTGCTCATCTGTCCAAACAGACTTGGATCGTTTGTGGCAACGTAAGAATTCTAAACTGATGACTCGTTTAATTCCACCCTCTCCCTTCGGCCTTCTTTTCTCCTACTATAATCAATGTTTTCATAGCAAGGCAATAATCCCATATCCTTATAAGGAAAGCTGATGGATGACCAGATATTGTTGACGTACAATCCCCAGCACTTACAGGGTTAGTAACTACAGTATACTGAATTCTACTGTGTAGTGCAATATTAATTCAATTGCATAGAATGTGAAGGATGTGTGTTTGTGTTTTATTTTTATAGTTATAATGTAGACTAAAGGTGGCATTTGATTTAGTTGTATGAGGTGCAATGACAATAAAATAAAGTAAAGTAGAACCCCAAGACGAGCTTCACAGAACCTAAATTCTAAATGCATCAACAGGATTCAACTGAAGAATAACCTCAACATATTAACCAGTGGAACTCACCTATGTTCCTGGCCTCAAAGCCAGGAAGAACAGTCAAGTCTGAACAGTAAGACCACAGTTGGAATAGTTGCATCAAGTTTTGGTGACCACGATTTTAAAAAGTCGTTGAGACAGAGTGTGGAGTGCGGAGAAGAGCAACGAAGATTATTAGGAGGCTAAAATATATGAAGAACGGTTGCAGGGATTGGGTATGTCTAGTTTAATTCAAAGAAGGACTAGGAGTGGATGATAGCAGTCTTCCAGAATTTGAGGGGCTGCCACAATGAAGAAGGGGTCAACTTATTCTCCAAAGCATCTGAAGGCTGGACAAGAAACAATGGATGGAAACTAACCAAGGAGAGAAGCAACCAAGGACTAAGGAGAAATTTCCTGACAGTTGGAATACTTAACCAGTGGAACAGCTTGCCACCAGAAATGGTGGATGCTCCATCACTGGAGGTTTTTCAGAAGAAAATGGGCAGCTGTTTGTCTGAAATAGTATAGGTTTTCTGCTTGATCGGGGGTTGGACTAGAAGACCTCCAACTCTGTGCTTCTGTTCTGTTATATGGTTTTTAAAGCCTCAGGAAAGGCTAATAGGGTCAGAGCCATCCTGCTTCCTGGAGGGCAGATACAGAGGAGGCAGGATGTCGGTTTCCGAGAAGATGACATTGCTTGATGGGGGAGACCTGGAGCATGGCTTCCCAAAATGACGGCAAGATAGGCAGTCCCGCAAATAGCTTGGCCCTATTATTAGCAAATGTGCTCCAGTTGGCAAGCTAGGCCAAAATTGCCAGAGGATAACTACATGGGAACAGGAAGATTTCCCAAAGGAGGCTGTTATCCAGGCCAGCGTGAAGTTAATCAAAAGACAGGGACAAAGTCACATTAATTAAGCAACAAAACTTGGCTTAGTTACTGAGAAATAATTGCCTGTCCTCGTCCTCGACTCAGATCCAACTGTTGTTGAAGTAGAACTGTTGTGTTGCATGCTGCCTACATATAAGTGTCTGTGTGTGCATGCATGTGCATATGTGGGATCCAATCTTGCTTGCGAAAGGGCTTGTTTGATCATTTTACATCATCTCCACTCTATTGATATTGTAGTAAGGATTATTTCTTATTATCTATGCCCAGGATGGAATCCCAGTTTCTGTATTATGTAATCCAGAAAGCCTAACCTCACATGAGGTTCATTCATCACCCCAGGCATGGTACATGGTACGATGATCACATCCCTGACAAACCTTCATAGAAACGGTGAACAAAATCCCAAGTTTGTAGAATGAAACAACGAAGAACGAAAAAGCAAGGTTAGCTAGATGTAAAGAAGAAAGGAAGCGAATCCATACGTGAATTTTTTTAATAAACTTAGTCAAAAAGGTTTAGCAGACTCCTGATTATTATTTTTTGCTATCATACAATGACCCGACGTTAGTCATTATCCTTGTAACTTCCCTTAATCTCTTGGCTTTGATTCAAGGGGTTAAGAAACCAATGGCTTCGTTCACACAACATTCCCAACTTAGTCAAGGATAAAAATTCAGCAGTTGCAGTCATGCAACCTAATGCCCTTGATTAAGTGTGCATTTGTGTCTGCCTTTACACACTGAACTGGTGTGATGGATTTACTAGGCAAATATTAGGCAAATCCAGAAAATGGTACCCAAAATTAGCATGTTAAGTGAACCCAACCATCCAGGATCTGCAGAAGATCCTGCCTCTAGTCTTCCAGGGATGTCTAAAACAGAAGAGCGTTCATTTCCTCTATTCTCTCCCTGCCCCAACATTAAAGTAATCTTAATTGGTTCCATATCTCCTTTCAGTGGCATAACTAACTAATTCTCATTCCAAGTCCTATGACTCAATTAATTCTCCTTCCTGGAAACATTTAAACAAAAGCTGCAGATGACACAAGCTGTTAGACAGCAGGGCCGACCAATGAAATACTGGGTCCATTTTCGTTAAAGGGTATTTAAGCAGAGGCTGGGTAGCCATCTGTCTGCCCAGCCACGGCTAAAACTAGACACTTCACAGGCAGTGATTTAAGGATACCCCTCTCTGATGCTTTTTGCAAAAACTGAGGAAAACCGCTACGAAGAAATTCAGCAAAGTGCCAAACACAAGCTCTACTTTATGACATAATAGAAATGAGGTTTAATTCTTGTGATTCTTTTTCCTGTTCGTATGTGATTTCTCCATGCACTGAGCCATTCATACGTGAATCTCGTGACTGTGATGGATTTCTTTCGTCCCAGGCCGACTGTTCCTAATCTTGTTGGATCCAGCTGTCACACCATCTTTCAAAGTTAATGCAGTTTTGTAGTTTCTGCATTGGACAAAGATGGATTTACCTTTCGCTTGTGTAATTCTGGGATGTAGCTTAAAACAAGTGTGAGAGTTAAGACAGCCCTGACAGACTCCATAGAGAGGAAAATTAAGTGCCGTCAAGCAAAGCAGGCACTGGTCTATTAAATTAAATTCTTGTTATAGGTCAAAGATAAGAAATAGGGTTTGGGGCTCTCTTAGCTCTTTAGCTAAAAAGCTGAGATTAAGGGGCATTTCTAACCATCGTGTTTATGTTTCTGGGCTTGTTCCCTATGCCTCCAATGTTCTTATATTCATCTGAAAAACTTGTTATCGAATTGCTTCAACACAAAACTCTTTGGAAACCAGAGTTCTCTCCACAAGAGAGAACAGGTGGACCTCTATCCCAAATCTTTAATCTACCTATAAGCTTAAGTGACTACCTTTTGGATACAGACTAGCTCCTCCGTGCTTTCTGCAAAGATAATAGAAGTCAGACAGAGGTGCTTACTCACGATGGAGCTCGGGAGGGAATGGGGTGTGAAGATGAATAGTTAAGGTATTATAAAGCTCTGAGAGCCGAGTGCAGACAGTGAGTAATTCCAAACAAGAACAATGTATTATGTACGAAAGCGGCTTTAAATAATGTTTGTGTTCCTTCTCCCCACCCAAATTAGAAATAATTCAGAATATAAATAAATCCACAGTGAGGGGTTTTTTCCCCTCTTCCTGAGAAAAAAATCCCATCTCTTGAAAGCAAAAGAGGATTAAAAGATTAGAGAGTTTGTGAAAATACATTACTGACATTCCCTGCTCTGTGTAACAAATGTCTTCCTTTTTGTGTTTCCTCCTCTGCATATTAGAAAACAGGTGCAGGATCCTGTTTAAACTTCCATTTAAATGAAACATCAGCTTCTGCAATCTGCCTTCTACAGCCCTGGATTCCTATATTTGCATTTAGAAAGCAGAGGATTTAAGGTCGAACTTTGCATAAAAACTGCTTAGAGCCAAGGATTTATTTCTGCGCAGATATTCCTGAGAGCTATTTTTAATTTAGCTCGCAAATTTGCTCTATTTTTATGGTAAGCTCGGCCCCTTCCAACGTTTAGCTGGAATCCATCTAAAACCATCCTGATTTTGAGCTTTCAAGTAGCTTCTTTTTTCCCCTCCTGGAATTCCTACATGTTTTATTTAGTGTGGAAGGTATGGATCTCAGGGTCAGAATTTCTGATTGGAGGAACAAGTTCATGGTTTCGTTCAGCCTAGAATATCAGAAATCTTCAATCTCTGTGCATGGACCCATCGCCCCACTGATTCCATCGCTCTAAACCGATAAGTCATGTTAGACTTGAGCCAACAGCCACATCCATATCCAGACCGAGTATCTGGTTCCTTTTCGGGTATGTTCCTTTGGACAATAAACGTCATGTGCCCTGAACCACCTGATAGAGGTCTGAATCTGAGCTGTTATACAATGAGCTATATTAAGTAAAGCAAAGTCATCACATCTTATTTGATTACTCTGATTAAAAAGGAGTGAAGGGTTTTGTCCTCTTGCTCCTTCGTATTAATCTTCCACAGAGACACTCAAGCATAGGCCTGTGAAGGCGGCACTCAAAAGACTAATAGTGACAAGACATGTCTAGTTCAATTAATGAAGTGGACTCTCATCCAATAATGCTGATGCTACCATGCACTCATCAAGCAACAACTAAACTTTTCTAGACTATCCCTGTGAAATGTATTGGAACTCAGTTTTCATCCTCCATCATGGGAAGGGTAGCAGCAGCAAAGAATAGTTTTGAGGAGTTGATATTACTTGATGATATTATTATTCCTCATTTCTGAGCAATTGATGCTTATGATGTGACTATCATTAATACAGACTATACTCTTAATTGCAATCATGAAAATCTGTTTTACTGTATTATTTTCAAATTGCAAGAAGATGAACTGAACTGAAAGAAGACTACACCACGAGTATCTGGAGATATTGGGGCATAAAATAATGGGGAAACTTGACTGAAGTCATCAAGATATTTTTTTTTTAAGGATGCCCCCATTTCTGTCTCAGAGATATAACATGGCAACCATTACATCAGGATGGCCAGTCAGGTGTTCTGAGCTATGATGTCATCATTCTCAGCCAGCCATATGACAACACTGTAAGTCAGAACACCTGGAGAGCAGCAAATTGGAGAAATATGTCTAGCCTGATGACATGTCACAAGGATTGTATTTATCACAACACATCCTGAAAATCAGAGACGAAAAAAGAAGTGAAGAAGAGGTCTCCCTTCCTGTATTTATTAAATTTATACACTTTCTCATGCAATACCATGCACTTACTTTTCTTCCACCAGCTGCTTCTGATACTCTTCATATTCTTCCTTCGTCATTCCTTGGGCTTCCGCTGGAGATTTGTCCGCTTCTCCTTTGTCTTCTCCTCCTAAGCCACCAGTGAGATTCTTCAGTTGGCCACCAACCATTGACTTCACCATGAAAGCCATGGCTAGGCAGAACGGAGAGCGGTGGCGGCAGCAGATACAGGAGTGGACTTAGCACCCACTGGAGATGGCGGGAAGACGCTCAGGTGGGTCGTGGAGTGGGCTGGGCTTCCTAAGCTGGGTTTAGATCAGCATCTCGTCTCTTGTTGAAGAAGCGTCCCCTCGTCGTTTTCCATCGAGGCTCAACGGGGCTCCGGAGGGGGAAGAGTAGACCAAGGCCAAGGGAAAGAAGTTCAGCACCTGGTGTCTGCGGACAGCTCCGAAGAAGCGCGCGCCGCCGTGGGAAGCCGCAGCCTTGCGGGCTCGGAGCGCTTGTTTCAGCACCACGGCGCTCGGACAGCGACTGCCGTCGATGGGCGTTGGGGAGCCGATGTTGCCGACGGGGCTGATCCAGGAGAGAGAGACCCCTCCCTCCGCGGAGGGCCGTCCTTCGGAGCCCCAACCCTCTTAAGTTGGTCTAACCCCGACTCTCCAAGCGTGACAACTTTACTCCGCCCCCTGATCCCTCCCTTTTGGGCTTCCCAGCCCCACCTTCCTCTTTTACTTTTATTTATTTTATTATTTCTTTCAAGAAAAGGAGACCTGCCGAAGCCTCTTCGTTGCTTCCTTCCAACCTTTAGCAAGAAGGTGGCTTCTATTGGGGTTCACCTTTATTTTAATTGATTTTTTTTTATTAAATACATTTCTTAGTGCTAAATAAACATCGTGCTGTCTGGATATTTAATTTGCTTAACAATACACATTTACATTCTTCACCTTTTTTTAAAAAAAAGAGGCAAATCTATTGCTGAAACAGCTCCTCTGGGTGGCAGCGTCTGAATTCATCTATTGGGAGGAAGAGTTTATTTTATTTATTTATTTGTTTGTTTGTTTGTTTGTTTGTTTATTTTACTTTATTTATTTTGCTTTATTTATTTTACTTTATTTATTTTACTTTATTTTATTTTACTTTATTTTATTTTATTTATTTATTTTGTCAAGCATGTATTAGATAACAGATATAAGTATAAACATGATTACAAATCCATGAAATAAAAGGGAACATTATAGGGCAGGGACAATAGGCACGCTGGTGTGCTTATGCACGCCCCCTTACAGACCTCTTAGGCATGGCGGGAGGTCAAGAGTAGACAGTCTAAGGTTAAAGTTTTGGGGAAGAAACCAAGAATGTTTCCCCAGTGTTTTTCACCAGCTTTGCTCAAGCTGGCTTCGAAGGGGCCAGCCGCCAAATGTCACAGGCAAAGTCTATCATTCACTTGGCTCAGAGTTAGGGGGATTCTGTCCCACACATCTGGAGGACATCCAGACAGAGAAGACAGTTGTAAGCAGGCAAATACAGATGCGATGGACAGAAAAGTGGGAAGCAGTGAAGTGAAGCGCTTGCGAAACCAAGCTATCACTCGATCATGCCACATGCGGCTGAACTTCAACTGACTTTCCTCAAAAACTAGGTCAAAAAGGTGGATTTTTACCTCTTTGGACTGGCGTGGTTTTCCTTTCTTTTGTTCTTTATGTTAAACAATATATTTATCTTCTAGAGTTATTACATTTCTTAGAGCCCGCATAAAGAGTTTTCTGGCGCCTTAAAAGACTGATTTCATGAGGTATAATCTTCCATTTTACACCTGCGTTTGAACTGCATGTTTACTCCATCCAAATTTATGAATCTGCCTGTGTTTCTTCGTCTTCTTGTGCCATATCCATCATTGGACATTGGCAATCATATTGGCGATCCTATTTTTTTTATCAACAGCTGCATGAAAAAGGGCAGCTGAGTTCTGTCCAAACTTGGATTTTGAAGCCATGATGTTCTTCCTCTGCCTGGAACTTCATTTACCTTCACTCTTTCCCTGGAGGATTAAGTGAAGGATGCTGTATTTTTCCGGGTGTCGCATCACATGTCCAAAATATTCTAACTTTCATTTTTTTATGGTTTTGATGATTTCCCTTGGCTTTCCCAAGCAGCTCCTCATTTTTGATTTTGTCAACCCAAGATATATGTAACAGCCGCCTGTGTGCCCAAGACCATCAACTAATCTCACAGTTGCACAACTTAGTTGGGCAAAGTGTAGTTGATAGTTTCAGATGCACAGCTGATGCAAACACACCCACCCACCAAAACTGAGTCTCACTCGATCTAGTTCTTTATTTACCCTCCCGCTTTTCAGCGGAATTTCACTCCCAAAAGTGACTTGTAGAGCAATTAAAATCAAACACCATAGCATTAGCAAGTTTGTGATTGCAAGGCTATTTTAGACCTTGGTATTAATGGCTGGAACATTAAGAGTTTTTAAGTTCTGGCATAAGGGGAGGAAGGAGGGAAGGAAGGAAGGAAATGGAAATGAGAGGCAGGGAGGGAGGGAGGAAGTAAGGAAGGATATGAGAATGAGAGGCAGGCAGGGAGGAAGGAAGGAAG